AGCGGATTTCGTTTTTATTATCATCCGGATCACGAGCGATGCTTTCTCTTTCTTTCTCCCTGATGTATTCCTTCAGTTGGATTTTTATGTCATTTTATGCACGCTTCTATCTACTCTATGATCAGTCGGTGCTAGGTGGGCTAAGGATGGTTTATCGCTCGTGATCCGGATGATAATAAAAACGAAATCCGCTGGCGCACAGACGCGACTTCAGAACCCCACACACTTTGAATTAAGGGAACAGAATATGACACAAAATAGTTGAAGTTAGTAATTTGATATACTACTGTTATGATTCCAAAACTCCAAAAGCCTCAGTATGGTCGGGGGTGGGTGTCTAAGGTCGCGGCTGGTACCCTTGCCCATGCACTTCACGAAGTGCTTCCATACGAACAAGCGTCTCAAATAGCCTCTGCTGAGGAAGCCCTACTCATTGCGTTCTCGCGGTGGAGGTGTTTTCCCACCAAAGCGAGAGGACGAAAAGCCGATATCCGGGGCTATAACCGGGTTGGTGGACCACTGGCAGTTCACCAACCAAGAGGAAGCGTACGAACCACACCCACACCTTTCCGGTTGTGGCAGTGGTCACCGGCTCGATTCGGTATTGAGGTGTATTTGGCACCTTGGACGTCTGACCCCGTCCGAAGGGCGTAAGATCCGATGAACTGGACAACGGTTCCCAGTAGATTGCGGTTTTCACACACCGCCCCGCTGCTTTGCGAGTCAGGCTATGGCTAGCCAAAGACTCCGGTTGTGGATTCCTTCAGAAAACTTATCTGCCTTGGCCTGGGCAACCTGGAATTACTCAGCCCACAAGCCAATCATGGAACATTTTCTTTTTTATAAAGATTATTGTACCATGGTTCGTTTGGCACACAGTCTGTCCTCAGACAAGTGTGAAATATAATATAATAATATTCCAAAACTAGGGCACCGGATCAAGGAGAGTTACAGTCAATCTCCTGCTATGTCACACCCCTTCGGAAATTCGAAAAAGTGGGTAAATTCCAGGAACTGCGACATGCCATGGTAAACAGTAGTAGATGTTAATGAGTAGTATAAAAATCGGTTGACCGGTTTGTGACAAAATAAACCGGATCGATGAAAAGTAGGTTTATCCCGTTAGTAATTCCCAATGCTTATAATTATAAACTGTTTATTTATAACGAAATTTAGATTTACCGTCCTGTGTATTTTTTATGTATCGAAGAAATTTAAATCTTATATGACACCCTCAGTTTAGCATCGGTACATTGCATGCGGTATTCAGCCCTTTTTTAGTTCTTCGTGTCTAGTTATCCCGAAACTACCTACTTTTCTTCAAGGGAACTTTCTCTGACCCAATTATACCGTATTAGTTCCAGCTACTCCTCCATTCCGTTGCAATGTTAGGCTAATCACAGAATTGATTATGTGATGTCCACCATAATATACAACTGTTTTAGATATAATAATCACATCATTTTAAACCCATTCAAGGAAAATTAAGGTGAACCAGTTGGAATACAGTGAAAAGGAAATAACATCTAAAGTGAGTGGAATATCTGTTACGGGGTATACTCAGAACATTGACTGCCTTCCCATATTCAAACTGATTGTTCGTTATGCAATGTATTCATGATTTTTTATTGAAAATGTGTATCATTAACTTCTGTAGACATCTATTCGTTCGTTGACTTCTGTTGTTACCAGTGCATGTTCAAACCGATTGATGCGTTCATCATGACCGTTTTTGGTCGGACTAAGTACAACACGTGATGCCATAAACCATACCATCAACTTAAGATGTCATGTTTTTATGTTGATAGTGCGATAGTTCGATTACTCCAGCGTTTCACGTTGTCTTGTTTTTTGTGATGATCTTGTTGTCATGTGTCCATGTCCATCCGTGTGGTGAAGGCACGTCTGCTGTACAGCCGAGGTTCACTGGGACTGCCAAAGATTCGCCGCTTTAGACAAGGGGCTGTTTCTCGCTCAGGTAAGCTAGGCAAGCATCAGGTCTCTTGTTGGGGTGACCTATCCGACCGATCGATCGTGTGATTTTCGGGCCGGTTTAGGAGGAGGATAAGTTCTGAATTGGATGTTGCTTAAGTGTTGGTAGAGAATCATCACAAGAGAATCAGTTGTGGAGCGGTGCGCCATGTGGGAGATTCGGAATGAAAAGCGATGAAGGCATTAGGCCAACGTCTAAGATACACACTATTTTTAAGAGGGTTCTCGCGCGAATTTTCCTGAAGGCCTGAGAAGGGAGTTTACTTGAAAGAAGTTTTCTCCTGTTCAGCCAACCGAAGGCTATAGACGCCAGCCTACAAGAATTACGGCAACTCTCAAGCAATTCATAAACTAAAAGTCTATCTCACAAACTGCCCTTAGAGCTGGGTTACGATGACCTTTGGTAAGTGACCTGTCTAATTTTATCAGTGCTTTAGGTCAAGTGAGAGCCTCGTTCATTCATTCACACAGGCGCGTCCGCGCGATGGCGGTTATCGATCGCTCGAATCTGACATCTCGTTTCACTCACCCGCTTACCAGTCGGTCGCGATTATCGTTCACCCGTTTACACGTTAGTGTGACAGAGCTCATCCATAGACCGCGGCTTTGGTGACCACTGTAGCGTACGTTGGCCATAGCCGAGGCCCTCTGTATTTAGCATCTGACCCACGAACTATGGGCCCAGAAACGTCTACCCTGGGTTCGTGAATCCACTCCTCTCCCATACTCCCCCACTGTCTGCATACACAAAAATTTTCACATAACAAAACCGATCCCTCAGAACTGGGTCACACGACTGCCGTGACACAACTGCAAACCCTGGAAGCACAGATCTGAGAATGCGGTGCGCAACACACACACACACACACACACACACACAAACACGGACACGCACACACACGAAGTGAACGATTCCTCCCGTTTTATTGTTCTCCCCCCCCCTCAACCCCTAGGATTTTTCCCCTCATATAAACTGTAATGGCATGATTATGAGTTATTGAAAACAATCGTTCACCTGAAATTGTGTTCTAAATGTTTCCTCTGCATTGAAAATATCACCATCAGCATAGCCATGTATCAACTGGGGTAACCCCGCTCGAAACGCGTCCACTGCATCATGTGGTACCGCGAAACTTTCCCCTATAAAGACCTATAAAGTAATGCACATGAGTTGCTTGTTTCT